TGCTCGCCTTGGTGGAGGAACACCAGCTTGTTGGGCTGGAGGGAAATCTGGAATCTATTGTGGGCTCTCTCTGTCATGTTAGCTTCGCCCAATCCGAAAATCACTTTCCGAGTCTTCACAGAGGTGGTAATCTCCCTGGTCAGTCCGAGAACCAGCTTATTTTCAACAATATTGCCGTGGTCTTATCGTCGTCCCTCTTGACTTAGTTCTCGTGATCCGGCGTCTCGGCTGCAAGGGAGATCGTGAGGATCAAGGTGGTAGAGATGCTGAGCATTGCGCAGTCGTCGGTTCAGGCGGCAGCAGCGGGAAGGCTGCTGCTTTCGCCAGAGTCAACCGCGAGCTGCGAATGGAGGCGAAAGGCGACATCGCAAGCCGTCGCACACGTCGCAATAAACAGAAGTTCGCGTCAACCCCTCCGTAAGTTATTTATTGTTTCCGGGAATCTTGAGACAATGTGGTCTCCTTGTTGAGTTGATCAAGAAAGATTTCTCTAATGCTCCCAGCTCCTTCCAATTTGTTTTGGGTCCGCTTTCAGGAATCTTCGCCATTTCCAGCAACGACTTCCGTGTGGGAACCAGCATTGAGCTCGACGGCGCGCCGTGGAGAGTGCAAGGTGCGTTGATGGTGATGGTGGGAACCCTCGCGTACAAGCAACGGAAGAAAAGGCTTTGACGCAGCTTCATGTCTATTTACGCGTGCATTCCTTCGTGACAGCCAATGTAGATCAAACCACGCTATCCGCTTCGGAGTCTTTTCGTTCTTTTTCTTTTTTCCTTTTTTCCTTCTTGAAATGGATCCAACTTTCGTTGTCATCCGTCCTCCCTGTGCTGTCAGTGCAGAATTTCTGCATGTGAAGCCCGGCAAGGGGGCGGCGTTCGTGCGCACCAAGCTGCGCAACTTCATCACGGGGAACACCGTTGAGCGAACCTTCCGAGCCGGCGAGTCGGTCAGTCAATCTCCGGACTAAAACCCCTCGACTCTCTGTCTTTGTTCCGCTTTCGTCCTCGGTCTGGTATGAGGATAAATTCTCCGTCTGTCTCTTCTTCCCTTCTATCCCCCCACTCCCCCTCCCATCGTTCGCCCCAGTACCCTCATCTTCTCCTATTCCCCTCATTTTCCAACTTTCGTTTATCTCATATTTTTCCCGGCAGGTGGACGAGGCCAGCGTGGTGAAGGACGTGAAGCAGTTCACGTACCTCGACGGCGAGGACTACGTCTTCATGGACATGGTGAGTTGCTTGGCTTGGCTGGCCATTCAAACCCCCTACGCCATGTAGTGTTCCGATGGTCCACTTACGCCGATCCAATCAGTTCACGTACCTCGAGGGCGAGGACTACGTCTTGATGGACATGGCCAGTTGCTTTCACGAGTCGACTCGCGCTTGTGACAGAGAAATGTAGGTTCACTGCGTTGACACGGCTAACAGGACTTGATAAGCCGGCACCGCAACTACGGGCGGCTCGGAGAGCAGCGGTGATGATGAACGTGATCCCAAGTGCCGAACGGCCGTCCGAGTCAAGATGGACGGCCCGCGTGTGGCCTCACCGGCGGACTGAGCTGCCCTCGCCATTGATTTCCGTCTTTTTCGTTGTCTATCAATCTGCTGTCGTGTAATCTGCATGCCGGGGCTGTTGAGCCCGACTCGATATCGGAGTCACTCCAATCTCGTGTTGCATTTGAACCGATTCTCTTCATCTCCCTTGAAGGCGGCGGGAGAGCGTGTTTGATTCCATCCTCCCCTTTGCTGACTCTCGAGTCGACTCAAATGTCTTCCGAACCGAATCCCCTTGTGCATTCCCCTGGAAATCGCGGCAATGATGATGATCAAAATGAGACTCTCCGATGCCAGCTGCCGCATGACGTGTGGCTGACTGCATGAGGAGAAAATTGATGCGGTTAGCTGAGCCCCCGATTCCCGTGGCATGCCTACATGTATTCATGGACCATGACCCATACCCCAACATCGCTACGCATGCCGCATGCGTGTGTCTCCCACATCAGCATGGCTCGACATTAGGTGCATGTATGCTTATCTCACCGAGTCGGACACCTCTCTTCCGCTCCCTCTTTCCCCCCTGTTCTCAATTCCAGGTGACGTACGAGGAGACGCGGGTGACCAAGGCGCAACTGGGCGACAGAGTGAAGTTCCTTAAAGAGGGGATGGAGTGTAACGTGCTGACGTGGAACGACAAGGTGATCGACCTGGAGCTGCCGATCACGCTCAAAGTGAAGGTCGTTCAAACGGACCCCGGCGTCAAGGGGGACACGGCGGGAGGAGGTAAGCGATGAGGGACGAGTGTGACAGGAGAGAGACGAGGGGAGATGGATGAGATGAGTGGAGAAAGGAAGTCGGGTGCGGGAGCTTTCGAGCGCGCTCAAAGTGAAGGTTGTTCAAACGGACCCCCGTGTCAAGGGGGACACTGCTGGCGGAGGTGAGTCCGATGGGGGCGAGGAAGCACAGGGTTGAATGGATGCAGAGAGTTTCGTCGATGGATACATAGGTAGCATCTGCAATATGTAACGAGCTAGACAGTATGTAATGATTCACTCCGCCCTCCTCTCCTCCCCCCCCCTCACCACTCTCCCCCTCCTCCCCCCTCCCCCTTGCACACCGTTTCCATTGCACTACTTGAACAAACAGGTGGGACCAAGCCTGCGATTATCGAGACGGGAGCTACAGTGTCGGTGCCACTGTTCATCGAAGAGGGAGAGGCGATCACTGTAGACACTCGCACCGGCTCCTACATGGGCCGAGCCTAAACCTCACTTCGGAACTGTTGAGTTAGCAGTAGCTGAGCATCAATAATGTAGGGTTTCTGGTTGCACCAGCTCTAAGAGCGGGTATGAGGCTCATTGGGGCATAGAACAACTGAGGCACAACTCCCTGGTGCAATATTTGTCTCGTAATATTTCTCTTCATTATCAAAATTGCGTGTTGACACTAAGCCTCTTAATACGATAAGGAAAATATCAGTATGTTCCAGGTCTTACGGTATGAAAAGAAAAGTACATGTAAAAAACGCTTATTGGCATATGGACGAGTATCACTCAACACAAACACACACACCCCATGGAAAAGGAATATTGTGGATGGATCGAAGCCTTGTGCAAGTGGATAAGTCATGCTCTGTACAAGCACTCCAGCAGCCCCCATTCAGTCACGGACTGCATTAGGAAAGAAGGGGCAGGGTCTTGCCGGATGCCTTTTCTTTAGTCACGCGCCACACAAGCACACCAGCAGCCACAGCTACAATCACAGCCGCAGCAGGCCAGCTCCATAGCGCCCACGCCTTGAGGGTGTTTCCTGGTAGCTTCCTCACCAGGCCCGTGCGTTTAGCTACCAGCTGCACTGCTGCTGCCACTGCTGCAGCAAGCACAACGGGTGCAACAGGCGAGGTGACGATGCTGATGCTGCTGCTGGCGGCAGCAGCAGGAGCAAGCTGCGTTGCTGTTGAGCTCTGATGTTCTACTGCTGCTGCTGCTGCTGCTCTTGCTACTGCTGGTGCTGCTGGCGCTGTTGCTGGCTTCTGTGCTGCTGCTGAAGGCGCAACTGCAGGTGGTGCAGGAGTACTCGTGATGGCAGACAGCACTGGTTCCAAGGGATGATCATTGGTGGCAGGCGAGTGGTGGTGGTGCTGCTGCTGATGATGGCTGTGCGCCGAGAGGGTTTCCTTGAGAGCAGTGACAGTGTTGTGCGCCGTGGTGGTCACCAGGTGCGACAGTTGCTGGGCTCTGTGGTGATAGGGAGGGGGAGGAGGGTGGGGGGATGGAAGGGGGGGCAGGGATGAGGGGGAGATGAGGGGGTAGGGGGGAAAGGGGGAAGGGGTGGTTTGTGGGGGGGAGGAGGGGGGGGTGGAGGGACCCATGGAGGGTGGGGGAACAGGCAGAGAAGGACGGCAGAGGGCAACAGTGTTGTGCGCGGTGATGGTTACCAGGTGCGACAGCTGCTGGCCTCTGTGGTGATAGGGAGGGGTGGGGAGTGGGAAACAAGAAAAGGGTGGTTCAAAGTGCGTGCGTCTTCCCAATACTATGTGTTGATGGTTGATCAAGCTGTTCTTGTGGAGCGACTGGAAAGAAGAGAATCAACAAATGTACCACACGTACGGTTGAAGGGGCACGTGGGTGCCCACGATCTCGTCGATCGCGGCGTTAGTGCCAGCACGCCGGCAGTGCGGCGTCCGGCAACCCAGCAGAAACTCTACCACGCTTCTCTCCACATCCACCCGCCGCGTGCTTCCCCGCTGCCCGTGCCGGCCGCGCCGGCCGCGGCTGTGCCGGCTCTGCGAAGCGCAGCATCACCGTGCCGTCTGGGAATTCTGGTGCTATGCGCGGCGAGGCATGCGGCGGAGACGGGATGGGCAGCATGCAGGCATGGCGCACGGTAAGCAAGGAAAATGGCTACTTCCAGGCGAGAACGAGAAGCTAAGGAAAATAAGAAATTAAGGCACTAGCGACGAAATTTAAGGGCACTGGCGATTTCCACGCCGAAACAAGACCAATGCATAGTAAAAACCGGATGTTACTCTTTCGAAGGCGAACGTAAAGGATTATATTGTTAATTATTATCAATTTTCATCCACCGCACCTTCCACCTTGTACAGTATCGCAGATTCTTCTTTCGCAATCGCCTTCGCGGGAGCAGTCGCCACGGCGGCTCTAGCTCCACGTGCCACGCGGCGATTGGTCCACACGGGTTTGATTGGCCCATGGCTCGTGCCGCGGTGCGTCAGCGCCAGCCCCCGCATCGAATTTTGTGGCGGCCTGACGATGGCGCTGGGGCTTGCAGTGTTGGCAGCCGTGGCGGTTGCGCGTGCTAGAGTGGAAGGAACGGCGACTCTCGAACCAGCGGCACAACAGGTGTTAAACGCCATGGCGAGCCCCAGATCTTCCTTCTTGAGAGAGGCCCACGAAAGCTAGTGTCTACGATTGCGAGCCGCAGCTGGCTGGCGAAGCAAGAAGAAGTTGGGCCAAGTCGTCGCAGCTCTCAACTAAGTTTTCGTCTCCAGAAGGATTGGTTGGAAGAACATTCTCGTCACTGCCGTCCTTTCCCCGCTATCTATCCTCTCGCCTCACCCTCCTGCTGAAGCAACCAACGGCGACAGCCAGTTCGAGTTACAGAGCCAAGAGAAGAACCGTTTTATCTTTCGCGCGGAAACGTGATTGGATTGGGGTGCTTCAAAATTGATCGTTGAGTTTCGCCAAGATTTTTGCTCCCGTACTGGACCCTTGGCTTTCCTCATGCCAAGTCGCGATGGCGGGATGAAGGATGAACAAGCGTGCCCCGCATTTTCCCCGCGCATTTTTCTTCCACAGCTAGCCAGTTCCTGGGCTACCTGATGCAGCATTACTGACGTGGCTCTGGGCTGGAATCTTGACTTCTGCTCCGACTCGCATCATTTGCGATATTGGATCCAGCGAGCTCAGACACGTCATTTCCGTGTGAGCTGACATGACCTTTTAGGAGATTCGATATATCCGATACAAGACACATGCGAAGCTTGCTGTTAGACATATTACCCCGCATATGAATGAAGCAATACTTCATATCCCATGTGAGGGAAAACACAATTCCTTCATATCTCGAAGGTTTAGCCACTACGAAACACGAGGATGAAAGCCACCTCAGGGACTCGGAGTTTACTGTCCAATAGCGCGGATACTCCTTTCCCAAAACCAAAATTGACGTTGCCCTTGATGTCGTCCGCTCTCCCCCACCTAGTCCCCACCTCTCCCTGCCTCTTCATTAGGGTGGACTCGAGACGTCCTCGGGCATTCAGTGGTGACTCGACGCGTCTCCTCACCCTTCGTCTGCGCCAATCTGTTGGCCATTTCGTCATCGTCCTATCTAAAACGTTCTCTCACTGCGCTCTGATTTTCGCTGCATCTAATGACTCCCTTCGCGAAAGAAGAGTAGATCACCCAGCCCCAGATTCGCTCAGCAACCGCAGCAGTCGCAGCAGTCGCTCTCCCCTGGCGACAGCACTTGAGGCTCGCGCAGGCGGGCGTCGCTCACCATCGCCGCATCGCTGGGCGACGTCGCAGGCGATGAATTCGGAGGGCAGCATGGAGGGCTCGTCCGCGGACGACAAGACTCCGCGCGGGCGCAACGTGGCCCACGCGCGGGGGGGCAGCATGGGCGCGGCATTCCCCATGCGCAGCCCGGGGAAGGCGGGGGGAGGCGGAGGGCAACACCAGCACCGGGATAAGAAGGGGCATCACCATTACCACCACTCGAAACACGTGAGCAGGACTCGAAACACGTGAGCAGGACTCTAAACGAGGTGACCTTTGAGTCAACTCAAAAGAAGGGGCATCACCACTACCACCAGTCCAAGCACGTGAGCATGGGAAACCGAAGGATCCGAACCGCAGCATGAGTTATTCTTCGAGCAGATGCAATCACGGAAGGCGGTCCTGTATCTTCTCCCCCTTCTCGCCCACCTGCCGTGGGATACGACGGGGCATCGCCATTGCCACCACTCCAAGCACGTGAGCAAGAGTTGCCTTTTGAGAAGGACAGATCTTTTGGATTGACTCGCTACTAGCAAGCACCAACTTCGACACCTCAGGCCATTGTGGTTTGGATGCATCCCTCATTTCCATGCGCGTCTGTGGTTTTATGATCATCCGATGCTAGCTTGAAAGCTCCTTCGTTTCGTCCCTCCAAGTATCCATTTTTAAGCACTTGCACCAAATTCCATCACACTTCCCCTCCCCTTGCATCCCCCCGTGCAGCAGAATCCAGCACCCTGCAGAAGCTGCTGCCATGAGTCACCATCGCCGCTCCCTCTTCCCCATCACAATCCCTCACTTTCTCCCCTACTTGGTTGTTCCGCTCTCCTTTCCTTTCCCTGCAGCAAAGCTTAGGCACACTTCAGAAGGTGCTGCCATGGATCTCCCTCTCGCCGGGCTGCTCTCATCTCGAGACCGGACTCTCTCCTGTCAACCTCCCATCCCCTCGTGTCAACCTCCCATCCCCTCGTGTCAACCTCCCATCCCCTCGTGTCCCTCCCATCCCTCTCGCGCCACCCTGCAGCAGAATCTAGGCACGCTGCAGAAGCTGCTGCCGCGGATCACAATCGCCGCTTCCGCTTCCCCATCACAATCCCTCAACGTCTCCTTTACTTCTTTGTTCCCTCCCGCCCTTCCCTCCCCCCCTCCCCTCCCCCCCCTCCCTGCAGCAGAACCTAGGCACGCTGCAGAAGCTGCTGCCGTGGGTCACCATCGGGCTGCTCTCCCTCATCGCCCTCGTCCTGCTGGGCTCCGCGCTTTTCCCAGGGTAAATTACCCTTCCTGTTGTCGGTCAGTTGGAAATACCCATGTGTCGCCCACTCAGGTCCTTCTTCTACCCCTCACATTGTTCCCCTCCCCTACTTTCACCCATTCAACCGCCCCAACCCCCTACCCTATGTACATCCAAAACAAAACAAATGTTCCTTATGTCCAAACTATCACTCCCCCTCCCCCTTTCACATCCATCCCTTTCCTACCTCCCCGCCGCCCTACCCTGCATGTTGCCTCTTACCTGATACCCGCCCGGTAAAGTTACGTCTTCATGTGTCTCAAGACCACCAAGCGGCTGCCATAGCACTGCGTTACTGCTTCAAAGCCTCTATAACCCACCCGCAATTCCGCCAGCTACATTTTCACGTCCCCCCACCACACACACACACACACACATCCCCCCCACCACACACACACACCCGCATCCCCACCACCGCACACACACACCCTCATCCCCCCCAGCATCATCTGCAGGTGCCCGGAGACCATCAATCGGTTACCAGCACACTGCGTTACTGCTTCCAAGCTCCTCACCCCCCCCCAACATATTCAACCCTTCCCCCCCCTTCCCCCCCCCTCTCCCCCCCCTCTCCCCACCCGCATTCCCGCCAGCTACATCTTCATGTGCCTGGCGACCAAGCGGCTGCCAGAGCACTGTATGAAGCTGGAGGGCGTCTCTTCGCACCCACATGCTAAACCCCTCTCCCCCTCGACCCCCCCCAACCCACGTCCCTCCCTCTCTTCCCCCTCACCCCCCCCCACCCGCATTCCCCCCAGCTACATCTTCATGTGCCCCGAAACCATCAAGCGGCTGCCCGAGCACTGCGTGAAGCTGGAAAGCGACCCCGTGCAGCACGACTGGGTGTCCGCCGTGCTGCCCTTCCACTGCTCCCATCCAACCTCCCCTGTCTCTCCCAACCCACGTGCCAAACTCCACTCCCTTCCCCACGCACTTGCACTCCCCCCCCCCAGCTACATCTTCATGTGCCCAGAGACCATCAAGCGCCTTCCAGAGCACTGCGTGAAGCTGGAGAGCGACCCCGTGCAGCACGACTGGGTGTCCGCCGTGCTGCCCTTCGACTGCTTCCAAGCCGACCAGACGTCCCTGTGATCGCGCACCGAGTCGACGACGTCAAGTATGACTTCTTCCTCTCGCTGCTCGACTTCGGCACGCGGAGACGCCCCAACAGGAATATGGTTCGGTTGTTGGATGGACGGCCGTTTCTCAAGCCAGATCTGGCCGTGGCGATGCAGGTGAGGCGCCTCCTCTTCCCGTCAACTGGTTTCAGTGTTTAGGTTAGCAGTAAGCGGACCAGGCGTCCCCTGTGATTGCGCATCGGGTAGATGACGTCAAGTACGAATTCTTCCTCTTGCTGCTTGTCCTTGGCACGAGGAGGCGGGCGAATCGGAACATGGTCCGGCTGCTGGACGGGCGGCCGTTCCTCAAACCGGAATTGGCAGGGCCTATGCAAGGGAACACGCATGAGAGAAAGGATGTGCCACTTCTCCCCACGTGCCAATTCTCCTCATGTGTCCCTCTCCCCTTGTGTCCCTCTCCCCCTTCTCCCAGTCAGGATTAGACATGCTGCTTGAAGCCAAGGCCGTGAAGCTGGGCTCTCTGGTATTTGGGAGGGGGGCGGCCATAGGAGTAGCTCATCAAACCCCCCCCCCCCCCATCCACCTTCCTCCCTTTCCCCTCTCATTCAGTGCTGGAGGTGACTTTTGAGTCGACTCAAAAGTCACCCTCTCATTCAGTGCTGGAGATGCTGATTGAAGCCAACGCCACCACGCCCGACTCACTAGTCATCAACGCAGGAGGGAGTGTGCATAGGCGCAACTCATTCCACCTTCCCCCCCCACACACACCACCGACCTCCCTTTCCCCTCCCAGTCAGTGCTGGAGATATTGTTTGAAGCCAAGGCCGACTCACTAGTCATTGACATGGGAGGGAGCGGGCATAGGCACAACTCATTTGACCCCTTTCCCCACACACACACACACACACCACCGACCTCTCCCGCCCCTCCCAGTCAGTGCTGGAGATGCTGATTGAGGCCAAGGCAGTCAGGCCCGACTCGCTAGTCATCGACGCGGGAGCAGGCATAGGCGCGGCGGCGTTCGCAGCGGCAGCCATGGGGGTGCGGGTGCTGGCGCTCGACCCCGTGCTGGCGAACGTGCTCAAGATGTGCGATGCTGTGCACCTCAACCGGGCGGCAAAGAGGGTGAAGCTTCATTTAGCCGCAGTATCGGACACAGCAGGCAACATCACGATTCACAATGTGAGTCTCTACCATGCACTAGCGCTAGACCCCGTGCTGGCGAACGTGCTCAAGATGTGCGACACTGTTCACCTCAACCGGGCGGCTAAATGGGTGAAGCTGCACCTGGCTGCAGTATCTGACACAGCGGGCAACACCACCATTCACAAAGTGAGTTTACCACCACGCCAGGTCACTCTCGCATCCAAGGACGCCCCTTACACCCTATTATCCTCACCACTTTCGAGTCTTTGAGAATTCTCGAAAATCTGACACTCGGTGATCCCCACCTTTTCGAATCTCTCCCCGGAGACTCCCTTGCTTTCCCCGCGGTCACTCTCTCGTGCTGAATTCCTCCCTCGTGCCCCTACTCTCCCATCACCCCTCTCGACCCATCCCCACCCATTCCCACTCCCCACCCCCCATCAGATCCTATCCAATCTAGAGCACAGTGCTGTGACTGAGGCTGTGCTCACCCTCGCATCAAAGGACGCCCCTGTCATCCCCACCACGGTGGAATCCCTCCCCATAGACTCCCTCGTTCTCCCCGACCAGCACGTGGCTGTACTGAAGGTGACTGTACAGGGATGGGAGCTGCACGCCTTGAGAGGCGCTGCCGGATTGCTCAGCCGCCCGCCCAAGGAGGCGCCGTTTGTCCTGTATGAGGAGGACCGGTTGTTGCTGAGGGCGGGGAACACGACGCCGGCCGCTGTGAGAGGGTGGTTGGCGGGGTATGGGTATAGTGAATGTGATAAGGCGCATGGGCTTGTGCACTGTAGGAAAAAGGGGTCATTGCTGGATGCTTGATTATGGTTTTGCGCCTTGTATAATTTTACTACATGCCATTACTGGTCCGGGTACCACTACCGCAATATCACCATGAGAACATTTGTCACTAAATAGAGAGAACGAACAGCCTGCATTCCCCACGAAATTTTGGTTTCTTATACAATTGGTTGTTGCCTGGTTAGAGCAACTTGCTTAGCCAGTTGGGATGTATGTTAAGTTGTTTGGAACACTTTCTGGTTGTGGGAATGAAAGAGGTTGAGGGTTAGACTGTTACGCATCATTTTACCGAGCAGTGTTGCTTTGACTCATCACATCCTCCCTTCCCCTCCCACCAGCCCAGCAGCTCCATCGCACTTTCGTAGATTGTCCACCAGAGTCCACACCACACACCACTTGGAAGATCTGTCAACTCTAGCGTTACGGACGAACTCGGCCAGACCATTGGTTGGTTGATGGCGAGATTCACCTGAGATTATTGACCTGCTGTGAAGGGCGGCTGTCCTTGTTCGTTGATGTCTTCATCACCTTCAAATCAAACTCTCAAAAAGCAAATGCTTCAGGGCGTGCCCTCCCGTACGTCTGCTTGCAGTTGTGTACTTGTCTAACAAGGTTCCAAAACCTTCTGAGAAGGTTGGGTACGGTATTGAGCGAGAAACGTACGCGCGGGACACCCCCGAGCTACGTCGGTTTGTAACTCCAGAATTCCTTGCCATCCCATTCGTCTCCAACAGGCTTCTGCTATTTCGCACGCTGCAAACAGCCCCTCAAACTTCCGTCAGGGCAGGTGGGATGGGGTTGCATTTCGGTTGGATACCATGTTTGAACTCCGCCCGAAGAGGCTCAGCCCTTCGTGCTTGTCTGCAACCCCATGATGGAATAACCAGTCCAATCATGGCTACTCGCAGCAACTGTGCCAGCCCCCGTCTACAGTTTTCTTTGTCAAAGGCGTTACGTCGCGACAGTGGCAACGTCTTCGGGTCACGACTCACGACCAGGCCTCTTGATAACCTAGGGGTCACCCTGCAGAATCCGAGTTTGCCCGGGATCCAACTCCTCTAGGTTGGGTAGCCCTAAAACTTTTAACTGTTTTTGCAGGCCAGAGTTTCGACCAGCTCAGAATGTGCCACTCCTGACAATGACAGGGGGAGCCATTTTTTCTAGGGGTGCGAGCTCTACATTAGATTTTACAAGGTGAGTCCATCCCCTACTCGAAAATCGGCCGTGGGATAATTTTGGCTTGCCTGTCCAAAGACGGGTATCGATATTCTGAATGCATCAAAAGCAGGGCTCGGTCGAAAATGTGCCTTGTTTTCCTTGACAAAGCAGCGTAATTACCCTGACTTCCAGAGGACTGCTCACGACAGAGTGCCAGCTGGAAGGCGTGAAGTGAACCCAGCTCAGGCTGGTTATCAAATTTGGCGTATTTAACAACTTATTATCGAGGGATTTTTACATATGGGTTTTTCCTTTCGGCCCACAGGGGAGGGACGAGCTGTGATATAAATACTGTACGTGGATGGAGGAAGAGAAACAGTGGGGGACAAGGGGCTCAGCTGGGATTGCGAAGTGGGTAGGTTGGGAGGGGAAAAGAGAAAGGAAAGCGCACAAGCGGGGCTCGTACGATGAGCGCACATGACTGAAGCATGGCCGAGCGATGTAGATTTCTCGTGTTGGATGGAAAATCGTTCAGAAGTTTCTTGATTGATTCGAGTGTTTGAAGTGTGGCGTTTGGAAGGTATGATGGGAGAATGTGCGGGAGAAAGTTCGGCTAAGCGTTTATCTTTGTCAGGTCTGCGTGATTTTCCTTGTCGAACCAGCGAGAAATAAAGTGGTGGAATGTATCCACCGGAGGGCAAGGAATAGCCGAGTTTGTACTGACCGGACCAGCTCCACGTGATGAAGGGGCAATCACCCAGACATCATCGAAGTAATGCCTTCCAGTCAGCGCGACTGGCTCGAAGCCATTCTCCTCTCTCCCCCCCCACCCCCCGCATTCCCCCTTACCGAGGACAGCTGCGCCGCAAATTCTTTCCCCCCGCATCTTCTCTCACCCTCCCTCCCTCCCCACCCCACCCTACCGCCTCATCATCTTCCCGCCGCAAATTTCATCAGCTCCATCCCTCCCCCCATCCCCCTTCTGGAATCTGCAGGCGGAATTCCCCGCCTGCACGGCGTTCCGTTATTTACAACGCCACATTCGATTTCTGTTCAACAGCACATTCGATCGACATTCGCTACCTTCTGGCCCTAAATGGACAACACAACTAGCGTGCTCGTGAATCTTGTGCCTGCAATCGAGTTAGCTTTGTTACAATAACGAAGATCGGGTCCGTTCTTCCGTTGCAGCGCGTCCGACTAGGTTTCCGGAGAACACGGCTCATACTATCCACAAATATATCACGCCGCTCCGATCACTTACGACACTGGCCGTGTTCCGAGAGCAGACAGATTCACCATGGCTCAGCCAATCGATCCTAGACATCAATTCGCGCATTTCGAGATCGGCGAGTTACTTTCGCGGATGTCAGGAAGTGTTACAGAAAGTGACGCGAACGCATCCGCCGCTCTCGCCTCCTCGGGGGCCGCGAGGCGCATCGCCGTGCGCCTACTCACAGGGGGCGGCGGAAGCGGCAATCTCGGCGCAAAGTTGAGCGGAAGCGGCGGGAGCGGGAACTTCGCCACGCTCTCCACTGGTATGGGGCCAAGCAGTGGGGTTACCAGCATCGGAGGTGTTACTGGCGCCAGCAGCAGGCATGGCGAAAGATTCATCGCTAGCGAGGGCTCCGCTGCGGGCGGCGGGAGTCCCGACAGCTTGGCGGGATGGACGTCGAATCCCAAGGACTCTCGGAGGAAGCTTCCACAGAAGTCCCTGTCCGAGAGCGTGGAACGCGGCGCGTCTGGCGGAACGACCGGGAGAAAAGGCCAGGCGAACGCATGGGGGCAATGCGACGACCTGATGGTTGATTGGCTGGGCTCCGTGGCGGAATGCGGATCCGCGGACGAATCTGGCGGACCAGCGGCGGCAGCTGGGCAGGTTGCCGCTCCGCGGCGTGGCGCGCAGAGCGGGCAGCGGGAGGGCCGAGCGGGGCCGCGCGGAGCGTCGGGGGCGCAAGAAGAGCGCGAGAGGCAGCGGGAGAGGAGCGGTCTGGATCGGCGGGACAGCCTTCCTGTGAGGGAGCGAGAGAGCGTCCCCCGCATTTGCTCCGACGAAATCGCGCGGGGGCACCTGTCGCGCACGATTAGCTGCGTCGACCGCCCCCGCCCGCTCACGGCGCAAAGGGAGAAGCCCAGGGGCGGGCTTGAGGGGGAGAGGGAGGAGAAGGGGCGCGTGAAGGGGGGAGATCGCAGGGGGGGAGCGCGGCCGCCCAGGCGAAGGGGGAGAGTGGCGGAGGTCTGTCGCGGACGTCTAGCTGCATGTCGGCTGGCGGCGACGAAGTTCGGCGACTGGAGAACGAAATCGCGGTGCTGCGACGGCAGCTGGTAACTGTGGGTCAAGCAAAAAATGCCTTCGGCAATGGAAGTGGTTCGACAGGTGGCTCGGCCCAAACCAGAGCGTACCAGCACTCCGGACCTCAGGGCGAGGCTCGGTCGCCGGAATGGCAGAGCATCGCAATGGAGGTAGTGGAGTTGAGGGGCCAGCTGCACGACATGACTGAGGCTAACGGACGCATAACGGAGCTGCTTGAAAGGAGGACGCAGGAGTTGGTGGCGACAAAGGAGGAGCTGAAGACAGCCAAGGAGGAGCGCGACGCGCTCGCCAAGGAAATGGAGGCTCTCCTCGAGTCCCTGTCAACATCGCCGCCTGCTGACGTGGCATGTACCGCGGGCATGGGTGAGCAGATGCAGCAGCAGCAGCAGAGGGCGCAGCAGGCGGAGGAGGAGGCTCGGCGGCTGCAGGTGCTTCTAGAGACAGCCATGGCGGAGAGAGACATGGCGGTGCGCCTCGCTGCTGCCACAGGCAGGCTCCCTGCGGGCCTCATTCCTGCCGCTGGCGTTTCCCGCTGCTCCAGCGACGAGCCCTCCCCCGCCTGCGCTTCACCCCCCTGGATGTCCGCTTCCGCACGTCAAACCTCTCCTCCCGCTCCAACTCACCCTCCGCTGCTACTTCCTCCCCCCCATGGTTCCTTTCTCCCCCTCTATGAACTCCTACTCGCCCTCCGCCTCTTTCTCCCCCTCTGCCGCCTCGTTCTCCCCCTCCTCTTTCTCCCCTTCCAGCTCCCTCACTAACTCCCCCTCGTCTCTTTCCCCCGCCGCCCGCTCGATCTCTTACGCGCCGTCTCAGTTCCGCTCACACAGCGATTCTGGCTCGGGCAAAGGCACTGACACTATAGCTAAGTCCTGGCTCGGTGCCGAGCCTGCAGGACAGCGGGGGGGGATGATGAGGAGCTCTAGCCGAGGCCTTGTCACAGCCGCCATATCTAACACCGAACCTGGTAGCCCGGCAAATAATTCTGGATGGAGGGCAGTGGCGAATGGGGAGGTGTATGCAGGGAAGGGACAGCTGAGGCGGACTGCAACTGCTGGAGGGGCGATTGATGCCAGGCATGCGTTGGATTCGCGATCGACCATTTCATTGAGCCGCCCAGGGAGTGCGGATATTGGTGCGCTCTCGCAGCATGGGGCTGAGCATGTTTCAGGAAGCAAGGTGGTGGAGAAAGGGGGAAAGAAGGGGGGCTTGAAAGGAATACTTTCGCGCAAGTCGAAGCAAGTGAGGTGGTCATACGACTTCGACAAGGAGGGTGGCTTGTGAATAAAAGTTCCATACAGGGCCATGACAAAGGTCATGGTCCCCCTATTTTTGACGGCACTCAAGAGGGCCGTTAACTTGACTCTAATGTTTGTACCATATGCATTTTTTCATTAATTCCTTTATTCATTACTTTGATTGCTTGAAATATACTGGTTGCGAATATAACAAAATGTTACAGTTATGCTGTTTGGCATGTTATCCGCAGAATCAGATGGTCTGACACATCTCTATAGCGAAGACGAAGCGGCTCAACCGCCAGCAGCAGCAAACCAGCAGTGACGTCGCGGCTGCACTGGACACCTCACATCCGCATCACGCCACGTCACTTCCAACCAATCCCTTCCCGTGACCCCGAACCTCGACATGGGCCCTTGGGTCCGGCTGCCTGTAACGAGGATGAGAATTTGCTGTGACAGTTTCCACTCCCTCCAATGCTTCGTTCACGCACACGTCCACTCAGCAGGCTCGGATTCTAATCATCCGACCATCCAGATTTCCAGCCGTCCACTCGTCTCGCTCGCCGCCCGCGCCGCTCCTACTTGCCTCGCCCTTCCATCGCCACAAACAGCGAGCGCGCTAACGGCGCAAGTGCGCGACAGGCGCCGAGGATTGCGGCAGCGAAATTCCAGCCCGCCCGTTATCGACGCGAGAGCCCGCCATGATTCGATGGGCGCTCCACGCCCGAGCCGCGAGCAGAAGGTCTCGACGCACGCTGGCGAAAGGTTTGCGAGGAGTGGCCTCGCCACGCGTCGCACGGCTGCTTTCCCCGCAACGGCTTAGTGAAACCCCCCCCACGCTGCCAGTGGCGACTCAGTTCCGCGCACCGTATCAATCGCCGCCCGTCCCCGCTGCGCCAGCCGCGTTTGCAGTTTCCTCCGCGCCGTTTTCCGTGAGGGCGGGCAGTGTTTCCGCCGTTGCTGCGCCCCGGTCGCGCTCCTCTCCCTCCGCCTCCGCCTTCTCCGCCATCCCTGCCTCTGCCCGTTTCTCGACCGTCAATCGCGCCCCTTCCGCTCCCTCCTCGCTCCCCGCCGCCTCATACTTAGCCGCCGCCTCTTCCGCCATTTCCTTATCCGTCTCCACTGCTTCCGCCAATTCCGCCGCCTCCGCCGCTTCCGCCGCTACCCCCGCCCTCGTCCCCATCTCGACTGTCCTCGTGGCGAATCGCGGCGAGATCGCGTGCCGCGTGATGCGCACCTTGAAGCGCCTCGCGATCCGCTCAGTAGCCGTCTACAGCGACGCGGACCGCGACGCGCTCCACGTGCGCTCTGCTGACGTGGCGTTCCGCGTTGGGCCCGCCGCGGCGCGGGAGAGCTACCTGCGGGGCGACGCGATTCTGGACATCGCGGAGAGATGCGGGGCGCAGGTGAGACGGGGGGAAAATTGGGGGAGGGGGAGGTTGGGACGGGGAGCTTGGGGAAGGGGGATAGATAGGGGAAGCGGGGAAAGTGGGGGGTAATCTCCCTTTTCTGCTCTGTGTGACACATGCCTTACCCCCCTTCCCCTCCCCTCCCCATGCACCTCCTCCCTCCATCCCTCTTCTCCTCCCCCCATCCCCCTTCTCCTCCCCCCATCCACCCCCCCCCATTCTCCCCAAGGCCATCCACCCCGGGTACGGCTTTCTCTCGGAGAACGCCGCCTTTGACACATCCGTGCCCACCCCCTTTCCCCCCTCTTTCAACACCTACCCCCCATCTCCCCCCCACCCAACCCTCCCCCCTCCAAGGCCATCCACCCCGGGTACGGCTTTCTCTCGGAGAACGCTGCCTTTGCTGCGGCGTGCCAGCAGCGGGGCGTGGAGTTCATTGGGCCTCCGCCCAGTGCCATTCAGGCCATGGGGGACAAGAGGTGATTGTAGTGAAGGGGTGTATGATGTGACTGTACTAAGGAGCCGGACTAAGTAGCCGGACTAAGTAGCCGGACAAAGTAGACGCTCTCCATTCTCGTGCCCTTCTCTTGACTCTGCCCCCTTCTCCTCCTCCTCCACTCCCTACTCTCACAGCAGCAACAGCCCCTCTTTCCCCCTCCTCCCCCTCCTCTATCCCCTCGCCCTCCCTTGCGCACATCACATCACCATACCCCCTTCTCACATCACCATACCCCCTTCTCACATCACACCCACCTCCTCCCTCCCCGGACTACACTATCTCCTCCCTCCCCCCCAACCAGCGCCGCCAAGGAGCTGATGACGTCAGCAGGGGTGCCGGTGGTCCCAGGGTACCATGGCGAGGACCAATCAGAGGGCTTCCTGGAGGAGGAGGCGCGGTGCATCGGGTACCCGATTCTTATCAAGGCCACTCAGGGGGGCGGGGGGAAGGTGGGTGGGTGAGTGGGTGGGTGAGTGGGTGGGTGTGTGGGGGGGGGGGTATACGTGAGTGGAAGAGAGGGAGTGCTTGTGTTGCCGTGGAGGAAGAGGCGCGGCGGAGTATCGGGTACCCGACACTCTTTAAAGCCACGCAGGGGGGGGGAGAGGTGGGTGGTGGGTGTCTCTGTGTGTGGGGGGGCGGGGGGGGGGGGGATAGGGGTGGAGATGGGTGGAGAGGGGTTGGAAGGGGGGGGGGGGGAGTGTGGGGAGGAGTGAAAGGGAGTGTGAGTGGGAGGCGTTTGTTGGATATGAATGGAGTCTGTCTTGGAAGGGGCCTCTCCGCTAACCAATGTTTCCCTCCTCCCCCTCCTCCTCATTTCCCCCTCTGCCCTGCCCTAGTATCCCCTCCCCTCGCCCCCTATTTCGCCCTGGTCCGCTCTCCTCCGCCCCCCCTCCCCCTCAGGGAATGCGCTTCGTGCATAACGCACAGGACCTACCCCCCAGCGTGAGGAGTCTATTTTTTTAGGCGCCTCAAAAATCGTGCATAACGCACAGGACCTACCCCCCAGACCGGCCAGCGCAGCGAGGGAGGCACCAGCAGCGCCCCTCCCTCCCCCTGCACTGCCCCCAACGCTGCCCCTTTCCCCCCTCCTCTCCCCCCTCTCCCCCCCATCAGGGCATGCGGATAGTGCATGACCCGCAGGACTTCCTCGCCAGCCTGGCGGGTGCAGCGAGGGAGGCAGCAGCGGCGTTTGGCAACGGGCGGGTGCTGCTGGAGAGATACATTCAGAGGCCCAGGCACATCGAAGTGCAGGTAGGGAGATTCAAATGAGAGGGCACGCGGGATGTGCAAAGCGAGGGCGCAAGGGGAGGGTGCTGGAGAGATGCATTCAGAGGCCAGACACATCGAAGTCTGCTTTTGAGTCGACTCAAAAGCTGCTGGAGAGATGCATTCAGAGGCCAGACACATCGAAGTCTGCTTTTGAGTCGACTCAAAAGCTGCTGGAGAGATGCATTCAGAGGCCCAGGCACATCGAAGTGCACGTGCAGTGAAAGGTGTCTTGTGGTATGCACCAGATGTGCTTGGGGCAGTGGTGAAGCCATTCAACGGCTTGTTGTTGGCCGCCATGTACGGCCCACTTGCCTTCCTCCACGTGAGGCGTGAGGGCGCCTGCAGTCCGTGCGAAGCTACTGCGGCTTAGGTGATCCTTCACCCTTCCCTCGCACCCCCTTCCTTCCCCTGCAGGTTTGCCGACAAGCATGGCAGTGCAGTGCACGTTTTCGAGAGGGTTTGCAGCGACTTTAGAGAATTCTCGATGATTTTTTAGATTTCTCACGAATCACCTTTTCGAGAGGGTTTGCAGCGTGTCAAGTGATCCTTGTGCCAGCGTGACATCTCCCTCTCCCCCTTCCTTCCTCTCCCTTCCCCTACCCTGCAGGTGTTTGCCGACAAGCACGGCAATGCAGTGCACCTTTTTGAGAGGGACTGCAGCGTGCAGCGCAGGCACCAGAAGATCATCGAAGAGGCGCCCGCTGTAAGCACCCCCTCCCCCCGCCCCCCCCGCACCCCCGCCCCCTCGTTTTAGTCGCTATCGCCCTTCGATCTTGTCACACATCTTCCTCCATGCCCACTTCCCACCCACCCGGATGTACCCTCTCCAGTCCTTTTCGGTGAGCTGACCACAACGCCCCTGCCCTCCCTTTCCCCCACTTCCCCCCTTTCCCCCTTCCCCCCTTCCCCCCTCCCGGCCTTTCCCCATTACCCCCTCCGCCTTCCCCCCTCCCTCCCTTACACCCTCCCCTCCAGCCCGGCATATCCCCCGATTTCAGGCGCCAGATCTGCGCCGCTGCTGTCGACGCTGTGTTTGAGTTGAGTTGAGTTGACCTTAACGCCCCAAACCCCTCCTCCTACACCCCTCCCACACCCTCCCCTCCCCTCCAGCCCGGCATATCCCCGGAGTTCAGGCGCCAGATCTGTGCCGCTGCTGTCGACGCTGCCAAGGTGGGGCAAGGAGGCGGGGTAGTGGGAGAGGGGGTAGGAGGTTGGGAAAGGATAGGGGTCTCTAGAGATCTCACGGGCAAGGGGGGGGAGAGGAGTGGGAGGCATGGGATGGGTTGGGTGAGAGTAGGGGAGAAGAGGCGAGATTGGGCTTAGGGGTTGGGGATAAAGAAGTGGCTTCCGAGTGGGTGGCTCAGGGAAGTTTGGAGGGCATTGACAGGGTGCGAGAGAGCATGGGGGTGCGGTACACAGAGGTGGAGAGGGGTGGAGAGGGGTGGAGAGGTTCTTGCACGTTCATCCCTGTGCTTGTGCTTATTCCCTGCTGATGGCACTCTGACTCGCTGACGTCACTACCCTCTGCTGACGCCACCCTCCTCTGCTGCCACGTGTGCATGTGTGCAGGCGGTGGGGTACGTGGGGGCGGGCACGGTGGAGTTCATCCTGGACTGTGACAGTAACGAGTTCTTCTTTATGGAGATGAACACTCGGCTCCAGGTGCGCGGCTGTTGTCTGCTCTGCTGCTGTTGTCTCATCATCCAACAGGAGCAAACCTGCCAGTGATTTCCCTTGCGTTGCGAAAGTTCACTGTCCGTGTCGCTCTCTCCCTCTCCCCTCACGCCCACTCCCCCCCCTTCCCTCTCATCCCTTTCAGACCAGATAGAGTGGCAGGTGCGCGTGGCACGGGGGGAGCCCTGCCGCTAACTCAGGGGATGGGGGTGTGAGGCTACTGGGGCATGCCGCCGCCGTTGAGGCACGGGAGGAGGAGCCACTGCCCCCTAGGAA